CACGTGCTATGTCGGTCACGAAGCCGATCAGCTGGTCTTTCTTCAGTCGCTTATATCCGTAAAGAACTAGCCAAGCGCAGACTTCAACGTCAGCTCTGATCATCTCTCACCAGGTGTTAACCTTTCCGCCAATCAGAGATCCGGATGGTGGTCAGTATAAGTATGAATGTGATCCAACTATCGCAAACGATCCATCACTTTCACTGTGTATAAGAGTAAGTCCGTAACGACGACATCTGACACCACCTCATATCATTTCACTCCGAATATTGATTTTAGAGTCCTCACTTCCGTCGCTTTCAGTATTCCGCTGTAAGCGTTATTGTGCACTTCGTCCACAGACCACAAAGTAACGTATTCAGAATGGAACAGATCCGCAGCCAAGTCGAGCTCGCTAAACTCGCTGCTCTGTGCTAATGCTCTTAAGTTTACGGATTTTCACGCATCCGCCTGTAACTGCACTGTACTCGTAAGGTACTGTCAAAGAAATTGCCTTTTTCAGTACCGTCTACAAATTTAGTTAAAATTTGATAAGATGTTTTTTCGACTAGCCCACCTCCGCATGCTTTGCCCTCTTGAAAGTAATGCAAGCGATCCAGATCAGAATGACTCAGTTCCCGACTTGGAGGAGATAGTGCTACGGCCTCGAAGCTGTCTATTAAGAATAAAAAATCCGATGTATGAAACTCACACCAATAAAACAGATGATGTAGACATTTGGCGTTCCTGCGGCGGTCGCAGTCCAACTGTGTACCGCCGCGATTGGTGCAACTCTGAGCAACAGAGAAAATGCCACTCGTTTCTGCCTTACTATGAATAAGTACGTATGAATAAGTTTTCTCGTCTCATCGACAGTTCACATACCTCTTCAGAAAACAGGAAACCAGGAAACTATACGAGTAAACTTTCGCGAGATCGGAAATTGCTAATAGACTTTCGGTAGACACTTTTGCACGCTGAATCAATAACTTTAGTTTGGTTCGTCGGTCAATGCGTTTTGTTTGCCATAAGTGGTCTCATGGTGAATATGTGACCTAAGTGCTGTCTGTCAGGCTGCCCTTCGCCCAAGTTCTTGTCATGACGTTGTCATGATGTTGTTCGAAATAACACCGATCTTCTTCTTCTTCGCGATCTTCCACGACCGCCTCTCGTTTCG